GCTCTGCGTGCAGCAGACTGCAGTCTCCATCAGTGCACTGGCAGGTGGGGAGGATCCACAGACAGGACCGCCACCATGTAAGTCACTTCTTTTTACAGCTAAATGTTTAAAAAAATGAAGATTTCTGCTCCATGAGTTTTATTATTGCTGGGTTCTGTCTTCATTTGAAATAGATTTTTTTTTTTTTTAATTTTGATTTGCTTCAGAGGCTGCTTCTGAAAAGCGCAAAAAGCCACAGAGAGCAGGTTTATAAATAATCCAGTCAGGTAAAATTAAGCTGACAGTAGAGTCTGAAATATATAGACCTATATTTTTGTAAAAAATAAATAAATAAATAAAAGAACCATCCTGAAAGTGTTATTATCTGCGTGTTGTTTTTTTAGTCAAGCTAAAATGGTTCTGATCAGGGAGGGGTTCTGATCCTCAGCGCTGACCTCAAAACGCCTTTGGACTAAAAAAAAAAAAAAAAAGAAGTGATGCAGCAGATTTCTCTCTCACCTCTGTGCGTCGCAGGAAAACGTGTCCTGTTTCATCTCTGCAGTGATGAAACAGACCTCTGAATGCAGCATCTCCACATTCAAAGACCCCTGAATGCATCATCTCCACATTCAAAGACCCCTGAATGCATCATGCTGACAGACTGAGGCCCATCAGTGACTTTTTAACAACATACATCACTAAATATTTTCAGGTTTTAGTCATTAGGGGAGCACCTTTTTGTCCTCCATCAGTCCTTTGTTTGTTTATTTGTTTGTTTTTAATAAGACTTAAAGTGATGTTTATGAAGAAAAGTGATTTATGTGTCTTTCAGGGTTTTCTTCTCAGTTTTAGCTGTTTTGGCTCTGGTGGTTTCAGCTGAAGGTCGAGTTGGGTACGTTCTATCATGCAGGTTGAAAGATAAAGACATAATCAATAAATGTATTCAAAAATGTTCCTCTTATCTTCTTTTTCCAATCATTATGAAATGATTGTTTCAGAATCAATAAGATTATGTTTAAAGTTGAAATTAGCAACAATTCTAGCCTCTTTACTTCCGTCTATAGCGGTCAGTTACAGTCCACTTAAATTTATGACCAAAAACCGATTACCCAGTCAATTTGGGACTGAGGGGCTTTTGCTAAGACCAATAGTTTTTTTTCTTCCGTAAATTAGGACAAATAATATAGATCTGTTAAATTCAGTTTTTGAATTAAAATTTTTTTCTTAAAAAACTAGAGGCCAGCAAAAATACTTAAAATGTGTCCTCAAACGTGTGGTGTTAGTCGGCCCGTTTGGTCATTTTTGGTCAGTATGCTGTATTTTTCATGAAAATATGAACACTTAGAAGAACTTTGATACTTATAAATAATAAGAGGAGCATTCACAAAATTCAGAAATAAGGTAACTACACTCTAAAAATGAAATGTTGGATTTACTTAACCATGTTATGTGACCTGGTTCCACTTAACTGAGTTGAGTAAATTCAAAGCAACATACTCATGTTCTTTGGTTAAAAAACTGGTATATTGATTTGAATTTACTCAACTCAGTTAAGTGGAACCAGGTCACATAACATGGTTAAGTAAATCCAACATTTCTTTTTTTACAGTGTACTTGGTAATTGATGAAGGATGTACAGGAATGGCTAGTTAAAAYTGGTCAGCTAATCTTTTGTCCTAATGTGTTTAAGAACTAATTGTGACTTTTTTTTTTTTGCTACGTCTGCAGACCGAGCACAAACACCAGCTTYTGCACCGAGTCTAAGGAGTGTCTGGAGTACGAGCTGGTCTGCAAAACAGATGAGTACGAAGTAAGTCAAAAACTTACAGCTCAGACAGTCACCCACAGAGTCGCTAATCTGTGATGGGTGGGTGTGTTCAGGTGCGACGCTACAGCCCCACCTGCTGGGTGTCGACTGATGCCGAGGCRTATTTCATGGGGGTGGGTGCAGCTATGGCTTTCAGGAGACTGTTCCAGTACATCACCGGAGCAAATGAAGGAGGTAAAAACGGGATGAGAAAGGGACAAATATGTTGTGTGTTTGTTGCGTTGCTGTTTATTTAATGGCGATTGCAGGTGTTCAGATGGAGATGACCGCCCCAGTTTTGGTGAAGGTCCCAGAGGAGACCAAGATGTGGGAACCAGCAGTGTACACGCTCAGCTTCCCTCTGCCGGCGGCCCATCAGGACAAACCGCCGGCGCCCACTAACGACAAGGTGAGTCAGCAGGTGACGGGAGGAGAATTTTAAATGCAGGGTGAGGCAGTTTCTCTGCAGCTGAGCAGCTTGTCTGCACTGAGGTCAAATTCTGTGTACCTCAGAGGATCTGTGTGTAATGTGATCAGTGACTTTGGCGTTAAGATCAATATGGAGCACTGATGCCTGCTGAGTGCTGAATCCAGAAGAGTGCAGGCTCAAGTAGACCTCYATCTGTCCAAGAAATGCTTCTTGTTTTTACATAAATCAACATATAWCTTTACCAAAATGTAAGATATTTAGATCAAATTCAATTCACTCTTAGTCCTGTTGTTTTTGAATAAACAAGCATGTGTTCATGTTTATTCTGTGCTGCTGCCTCAACAACAGACCTAGTTTTATCTGTGACACTCGCTGACATTTTGCCCGTGTTGACTCCTGACAGCTGTATTTCACCGAGATGCCAGAGATGTTTGTGTACGTGAGGAGTTACGGAGGCTGGATGCTGTCGGTCACCTCCAGGCTTCATGCTCACATGCTGACGAAGGAACTGGAGAGAGTGCGCGCTTCCTACAACCACAGTTATCACTACGGAGTCGGTTACGACAGGTGTGCCGCTCGTCCACCTTTGTTGTTTTTATTTCTGGGAACCTCCCGTCATAAAAGTGTGCAACAGTCTAAGGTTGTCCTCTATGTTTGACAGCATAATTATTGAACCACCCTATTAATATTCTGCTCACAATATTTGTCTWGTTTCAAAAGCCCCACCGCGTTATGGGAAAAAATGCATCAAAATGTGCAGCTTTAGTGATCAAACCCTGAGAAATGGGATTTTAGTTGAAACACATGAGAAAACTCAGCCCCCTTTGGAGCTTTAAAGCCCTTCTATTGACTTCAAAATAAAGGGTTTTTCTAACTTATAGTTTCTACATAAAACAACAAATAATGCGACACATCGCATCGAAATGAGGATTAAGTCAAATTTGGTCAAAATGACCTAATCATATTTTCTGATTCTTGGCTTTAAAAGCTACATTTTGATACTTYRATCATCCTGATATCATTAGTGGATCCAGAGATATGATTTAATTTTTCTTGTTGGTTACAACAATACATAAATATTTGGTCTAAAGCCTAATTTTATGTAATTTTAATGAGGATTTTCTATGTCATTTTAAAAAAGAAACCTCAAATAGTATTTGAAAATTAAAATTTCCCAGTTGGAAAGAAACAAAAGCGTTGATAGCTCGCAGGGAAAATCTCAAAATTTTAAAGCGTTTTTCCTTAAAATCTGGTTTTTGGTTGCTAATGCTCAAAAAACTATTTTAGGATAATATTTCAGACAGTCCATTGAAATGATACATTAATAACACATTTATTTGTTATATTTTGACAAAATGTCATTTTGCAAGCATTTTAATCAAAACTATATCTGCGTATTTCTTCACGAACAATGTTTAGACTTTTAGACTGCTCACATTTGAAGAATTTCTGATATGGCTTCTAATGTTTGTAAAATTTGACAGTTTGAGACTTACATTTTAGTTTGTGGAGGTTTTGACTCCCTCGAACGTGCTGTCAGGGAGTGACAGACACAGGTGTGTGGTTACCTTGGTGCAGGGGTCTGTAAAATGTGGCTCTGGGGCTCAGTTTTGACCAAAACTAACATGAGATTAAATGTTTTTGCTTTATACTCACAACAGAAAAGGGTAGATTAAGCAGTTTTCCTGTCAATTTGTTTGTTGTTAATTAGATCATGCTGGTAGCCTGTGGTCACATCAATAATCCGACTTCCAGCCTTAAAGTCTGATCTTTCTCTCAAATCCATCAGGGCTGCCTTTACAGACCTTTAAGACTAAACTAGATAATAATAAGAAAYAGAAACAACAATGTGCCTTCATAGTTTAGTTGTAGTTTTTTATTTCTAGTATAAACTATAAGCTAGTATGTTTCTTGTTTACATAAATATGGTATTTTCTTTTGCCCTGAAGTATAAAAATAATAATAAATGCTAAAATATGCTATCCATTTTTAGTTTTATGACGTGACCCCCACTGGTCGTAAAGACCCTCCTTCAACAAACTCAAAATGGCCCACGGACCACCAGTTGATAATGACAGTTGTAGCATGTTTTGCGTAATTTTATTAGTGAGAGAAGTAGCAGAAATGTCTCTTTTGATTGGAAAGGTTGCAGACCCCTGTCATAGTGACAATAATGAGTCAATGTCAGCAGCTCCAACATTTCTCTTGATCCTGGACATTTTTTTAAATAAAAACACATTTTTTCCTAAGCTGAAGGTTATTACAGAGTTGAAATGTTCAAGTTTTTTTCTGATGTCCTTATCTTTGTGCGCGCAGCCCCTTGAAGTTGCTGGACAGGCATAATGAGGTTTGGTACGTGGCCGAGGGAGAGCCGGTCTGCACAGACCCACAGGAACCGACTCCCGCTCACACGCCTCGTCTGAATCCAACCCACCTGTTTCCAGACTCCCCGTCGGACCCCCTCCCACTCGTGCTCTCTGATTCACCCTCACTTATCCCGTCTGACCTGTCCGTTAACACAACGTCCAACTCCTCCTCYCTGCTGCCCTCTGATGGACCTGCTGTCCCCCCATCTGAAACACCAGTCAACGCTTCGTCCCATCTGCTCCCTGACCCTACAACCAGCCACCCTGCCCCCTCCGCCCCAGCCTCCTTGGACCTGGCAGCCAACTCCTCGGAGCTCGTGTCTGTGGGTCCGTCGTTGGAGCCACAGCAGGATGCTGRCGTGTGGAGCACCACCGTTCTCAGCACCGCGGACACACAAGCTGAACGTAACATGGAGGCTGATACGGATGAAGCCCATTAGCAGCCGTCTGGTTGTATAACTCCAGGTATCAACGTGGATTAATGCTAGAAAAAAACACACAAAATGTGTTTAATAGACAGTAATAATGCACTCTTCGTCTATTTTTCTCTTTGTCTGTGCATTACAACAACTCCTCCKTATGACACTTGTGTTGCTTAAAAAGAGAGTCTGTGGAAAGATTATTGATCAACAATATCTTACCTGCTGTAGACAGCTTTTTGAACAACCTCTATTGGTGAAAATAGCTTAAATCTGACCCCAYTGATGAGATAATGACTTGACCAAGCAGGGCTAAGTCCAAAGAGTGATTTATTTTAGAAAGGGAAGTTGTGKGTTGTGACTAAAGGATATAACAACGACTTTATTAAAGCAGCAGCCCAAACATCAAATTTAAATGCAGAGATACAACAAAAACATTTTCAGCTGTAGCACTGAGGGTGACATAAAGAAAAACAGTCTGTTGTTAAGCTTCAATATTAACGTTGCTGAAAATCATTGCTTTGACACTGGAAATTAATAGCCACCATGAAAATGTTCCTCTGATAAACCTTTATAACCTTGTACACCACCGTCAGTTTCACGTTTAATAGTTACTTATTCAGTGGTTCRTTGCAGCTAGCTGTAGCACATCCTGTGCAGTTTCAGACACTTTCAGCTGACATATTATAATATTTTTGCCAAAATAGGTTTGTAGATTGGAGTCTAAGCTTCGTCTTTTCAGATCAGTCAGGATGAAACTCTTATTTTTTTTTCCAAATTGAGGTCATCCAAAGGTCTTTCCAACACAGGGGATTTTTATAACCTTTCCACAGAACCTCACTTTAAAACATCTGAACTATCTCTTTAAGTTCTACTGTAACTTTACAACCACATCCTCCTGCATCAGCAAACATAAGAGCTTCCTCTTCATCATCCTGAGGTTATCAAATCGCTGCGTCTTCCTGCTGAATGAGCTGCATCATATGTGTTAGTTTGAACATTTATTGTGTYGATTACTGAAGCTACAGCTGCTAAATGCAGTTCATCCCACGGCGCTGTTAGAACGTCAACGTAAATCTGTGTAACTGATAAATACAGCGCTGGGACTAGCCACGGCTACATCAGAGGAAAGTGGAATTTGTGTCATTAGAGCTCACTGAAACGTTCTACCCAGCTTTAACTTTCTCTAAGATTTAATAGTGAATTTCACAATAACGTGTTCTGTGTGTAACAACATGAAGTGGGATCTTTGCTGCAACGTTGCACCAAGCTAACAGTAACACTTAGCAAATAATCTTTAATGTTTTACTCATAGCAACACAAAGTTTTCCTCGTCAGCAAATATTAGCTGAACTCTGTCTTTTCTGCTTAATGTTGCTTACTTTGAAAGCAACATTAGTTCAAGTAAAGATAAATATGGAAAATTTAATTAAAACTCATCCAAAAAGCATTTAGCCATTTTTTTAATGCCGACTTGACACACATGGAAAAACAGGAGTTGAACAGATCGATCTTCTGGTTCWTATCAACCAGAACGTTTTCCTTTTTGAACAGAATCTAATGTGATTTTTGAAAGTAAACAACTCTAGTCTTTACTAGTTACAGCTTGCTTACAGCGTTCATACTTGTGTAAAAAATATCTTCATAAAGTCTGAAGATGTTTTCTTTGATAGAGTCGATGTAGAGGAAAGCTTTTGCTGTCCTTTTTCTGGTTTCCTATCGCCGCTTTTAGGACAGGCATGCTATGTATGAGATAGTATGTGGACATTTATTTGTTTCTGTAGGAAAATGTAAAATGGCACTTTGAGGTGCTTTATGGCGAAAGAAAACAATTGTTTTTGTGTTTATCTTTAAAATGAACTTTGTCACCTATCTTAGCTTATGCACAGAAAACAAAAAAGAGATAATCTGTACTCTTCTTCCTGTGAAATAAAATAACAATAAAAAAAACAATAAAAATTTTTAGATTTGAACTGGCATTGATCTTCAGAACGCACCACAAGCTGTGTAAGCCTTTGCTGTAATTAGGACTGCACCAAAGATCCCAGAGAATTACACCTGATCACACCGATGCAATAAGAAATATGTATGTTAATGAAGAACACTCTGTACCAATGCATCTCAGAGCTGCATACTGAATGTTCTGGAAAAAAACAATAAAAACACAAACTCTTGTTGAACATTAGTTATTATTTTTCATTTGATTAAGTATTAGAATCATTTATAGATCACGTCTACAGGTTTTTACAGGATTTACTTTTCAGTGAGACTAAATTCATGTTTAGTCTCCTGAAAGACCCTGTTGAGAGTGATGTTTGTCACGCTTCAGGAAAGACTCCTGCYAAAATGAGGCACTTTGGGTAAATATTTTACACAACATTGTTCAAACCTTCTAACTGATCCAAGTCAAGAAGCACAGAAGTGCGAYCCTGATCTTTATTTCTGATTTAACCACTAAAGCACAGCTCTGTTTGCTGCCACCGAACCTTCACTCATCCTCAGCTGTCACCAAAGATAAAACCATCAGAGGACTGTGGTCACATCTCATCCAAATACTGTATAAATCACCCATGATTGAGCATCTGATTCACAATCAATGAAAGCTGGTAAAACTTAAACATCACAATAGCCCAAAGGAGTGAGGTATAGCTGCGTGCTTACCTGTGATCCTGGATAAAACTGATTCTAAACTCATAATCTGAGCCTTATTAGACTGTGCAAGACCTTTCTTGAAACTTTCCCTAAATWTTTGAACTCTGTCATGTCAGYRAAATATCTCACGAACCATTGGACAGACTTCATGAGCCGGTAACCAATATCAAAAACTTTTACTGCATGTACGGGTGRTGAGGCAACAAAATCTGTGAAAATACTTGCCTTGATTAGGGTTGAGCAATAAATTGATTTAATTGATCAATTTGAATTTGCCATTTATAAAGATTTAATTTTGGGAAAATCAAGATTTCTTTTCCCACCAGTACACTCTTTGGGRCTTCTGTAGTTCAGAGGTCACCCCACCTGTCCCTCAAGAGGCTCGGTACATGACATGACAATGTCAGCTAGCAGAGCGAATCTACTTCTCAAAAAAGGCASTGTTTCTTCAGTTTTMTGGAACTGGTTAGGTTTTGCAACCTTGGATTTAGAGCAACAAACACCTCAATGCAAAATCTGTTTGAAGGCTCTTGCTACAAAAAGTAGGAGTACAACAAATTTGTTTCGACAACTGAAACAGGCACTCCGTTAAGTGGTAAACAAAATCAAATAAAATCAAAAATCGAATTTGGGATGAAAAAAAGCTGAGATTTTTTGGGGGGCCATGTCGTCCAGCCCTAGCTTTGATGGATTTCTTCTTTTTTTTAATTCTCATTGTGCAGAAGTCATCTTTGAAACTCACTTTCTGAAATGTCTATATGCTCAGCTGAAATATAGGTATGAACACAGAGTGTGTTTCAAAGAACCAAAAGCAGATATGACCCAATTTAGCCCACAATGCACTGCAAAATACTGACGCTGTGAACGCACATTAACTTTAAAAAAAGTCATGGTTTATGACAGTGTCCTATACTTAAATATTAGAAACAAACAAAAAATAAGCATGATGTCACAGGTCCTTCAGCATCTTTTAGTTTATTTTAATAAGAAAAGGTTTYAGTTGGCATCTAACATTCACATATCAGTTTTATCACATCACAGTTTCACTGTGATAGAACTATAGAAATAAGCTTATTCAACATACAGTGAAGAACCATTCATGCTGTTCTAGAATCACTGAGATTCATCAACGCTGCCCCCACCTAAAAAAAAAATCAGGTTATCTCTGCATTTCATTTTTATGGCTATTTTTCATTTAGCAAAACAGTTGTGCTTTCATCCATCCACACACTGACAGCTACTGATAGAGTGAAAATAAAACCGAAAGTCCACTCAGTCAATCKGACACAAAGGCATTGTTCCCACTCRTAGTTTGGCTTCATGTTCTGAACATCTTTTGCACTGAGACGCTTAGGTCTTTAGATGTAAAAAAAAAACAAAACAAGACTGTTTGTTCTGCGAGTGTCAGTGTGACTCAATAATGTTTATATTTTCTTTAAAAGAAAAGCTAAATCTGTACTTCAAAGAATTAAAGTATACTGGAACGATGCAGCCTTTTAGAAGTGACTAACATGTGCAACGGACAATTAAAACAAATCTTACTCTGAGTTTCCATTCTTGGAAAGTTGTTTGGGGGGACATTCTTATGAACATAAGGGGAATCTTTCTTTTTTTTCTATTTCTAGAAAAATCCAAAGGTCCATCTAAGTGATCATAAAATTTATGCTTTGTGTTTTCATTTTTATTGTAACTACACTCCTCCTGACTTAGAATTGGCTGCCTTCTTAGTAATGCTTGCCCTCCTACTCCCGCCTCCTCCTCCTGCTCCTCCTTGCCAGAGATGGCCGGGGATGGTGAAGGCGTCTACGCTCATGCCCATGGTTTTGGATGGAATGGAGCTGAACTGCTTCCTGTCTGAGCTGTATTTATACATGGATTCCACCTGGGCGGGGTTAACTGTCCGCGGGCCCACTCCTGTCAGCCGTGTCAGCTCCTGAGTGTCAGGGTTGGTGGTGTAGACGCCTCTGAACTGACAGCTGGAGTCRCGGAAGAGAATCAGGAAGTGGTTTGCGGAACTCTTCTCCATTTCCTGAGGTCGGAGCAAAAAGTAGACAAGAAAATCGGATTTGGTTCCATCAACTTTTTTTTGTGCTTAAAAGGTGACTTACCTCTACTATCTTGTTCTTTTGGGATTCGTTGACCTTTCCAGCGAGACAGCAGCGTGACAGAGCATTGTGAATGATGAATTTGTTGGACTTGAAGCTTGGTTCTTTGAAGAGTTTTGGACCTAAAAATGCAAACACAGGCACAATCATTATCACAAAAACCCCAACAGGAAACATGTTGGCCCTGCTGAACTCTGATTGGCCCCTGAAGTGCCCCTGTCCTGAGACTCATACAGTATGTCCTTTGGCTGAGAGCAATGATGGTGGATGCAGTTCCATGCCCAAACACTAGAGGCGCTAATGAGTCAAATAGTAAAGTCCAGCATGAATCAATCTTACAGCAGTCTTCTTCTCTTCTTTAAAAGACTTGAACAATTTTGCAAACAAATATCTTTCAATTGGYAAACAATGGCTTCCTTTTCTCACATGCTTTGAGAGTATTTTATCCATGTTCAGTAAAAATGCATGTGAAATTGATAAGGAAGCTAACATTACATTACGTTACAATTGTTGTAACATATGTGACCACTTAAATTTATACACCTTACCAAAACTGAGGATTTATGTGCAAGGATGTTGAACAAATACTTGGCCCCTCCATGTGGTCCTAAATTGTGGCCCCTTGATAGCTATTTACTCGGAAAAATCCTAGATCCACCACTGGTTTTAAGATGTACCTGTGTATTCTGGTGCAGGCGAGGTCCCGTTGGACCCAGACTCCCAGTCCTGAGATTTCTTTGTGGGATCACCACCATTGTTTCCTGCTTCATCTGTGGCTGCGAGGTTCAGTGACGAGTGGGAATAGACTTTTGTCAGCTTAGAACCTGAAGAAGCAAAGGTTAAAAYATGAGAACAGTTTTATCAAAGCAGTAATGTACAAATACTTTTACAGAGTTTTTTTTTTTGTACCCATTGCTCCCTTGGCTGGACTCAGAGACAGCTTTGTTTCCTCCCTGGTCATGCTGCGAGGTCGTGAGCGAGTCTTCTTCGTTGATGATCGGCCTTGGTTGGGGGATTTCTGCTTTAGGACTTTGTCCAGGTCCTCCATGAGTCTGAGCTGTTGCCGTCTCATGTACTCTCCTCGTGTGAACTCCCCTCGTCGGGCAGGGGTAGCTGGGGGTGTGGGAGAGGGTGAGGTTGTGCCTGCGGGGGAGGTGTTGGAAGGAGATGCCACTCTTCTTTCTGAGGATGCTGGTCTGAAAAAGAAACAGAAGGCATTTGGTTTCCTTTCTAAGTTCTTTGCTTGGCTTTAGTTTTAAAATTAAACTAACTAACTAACTAACTAACTAACTAACTAACTAACTAAATAAATAAATATATAAAAATTCAGACTCAATCTTTCAAAACAGTGAAATAGGTGTACCACAGAGTTCTGTTTTAGGACTTTAGCTTTTTTTACTCGTACATAAATTACTGAATAACCTGAAAGTTGTAAAGATGCTCATAGTCAAACATATGTAGATGATAATAGCCTGTATGCACTGTATGATCTAAGACTTCTAAACCAGCCTTCATGGAGATTATAAATGCATGTGCTATAAGTTGCGTCAAAAGTTTTATTACAGAAAGACAAGGGAAAATGACATCTGAATACTCCAGCGAGTAATCGGTAAGGGGGTTTACCTTTTAGCTATGTCCACAACATAGTTGCCATACTGAATCAAAGGCAAGTTGCTCCAAAGATAGGTCCCCTCAGCCATTACTTGCTGGGGTATATCATTTTCCCTTGTCTTTCTGAAATAAAAGGGTGTCCYGAGGCTTTTGACTCACTCAAAGCATAGTGATGGCTTGGGCATGCATGGCTGCCAGTGGCACTGGGTCACTAGTGTTTATTGATGATGTGACACAGGACAGAAGCAGCCGAATGAATTCTGAGGYGTGTGCTCAAATCCAGCAAAATCTGATTGRTCKGTGTTTCATAATACAAATAGACGACACAAAACATAAAGCCAAAGCAACCCAAGAGTTTATTAAAGCAAAGAAGTGGAATATTCTTGAATGGCCAAGTCAGTCACCTGATCTCAACCCAATTGAGCAGCAATTCATTTGTTAAAGACTAAACTTCAGACAGAAAGGCCCACAATCAAACAGCAACTGAAAACTGATGCAGTGAAGGCCTGCAGAGCATTAAAAAGGTGGAAACACAGCATCTGGTGATATCCATGAGTTCAAGACTTCAGGTAGTCATTGCCAACAAAGGGTTTTCAACCAAGTATTAGAAATTACCATTTTATTTACAATTATTTAATCTGTCCCATTACTTTTGAACCCCTCATTTTGTTCAAACCACTGAATTAAAGCTGAGAGTCTGAACTTCAACTGCATCTGAAATGTTTTGTTACTAAAACAAATCTCTGTCCAAAAAGAAATGGACCTAGTTTTATATACTGTATAAAGTATGTTTGCATCTCAAAGTTTTTAATTATCTGCTAAAATTAACATAACAAAAAGCAAATCTGTGACATTTTATTTTTACTACTCTATTTATTCTTATTACCTCCACCAAGGAAGTGATGTTTTCGGTCGCGTATGTCTGTCGTTCTGTCTGTGGACAACATTACTCAAAAACTTGTGGATGGATTGTCATGAAATTTTTACCACATAAGGATACTGGGTCACCTAAACTTTGATGAGGTTCTGTGTATTCCGCATCACGATGCATATACAGGAATTTTTTCTTTTAACACTCTGACATCGGCAAAGCTGTGATGCTTTCACAGGGTGTGGGTTTCAAAGTGTCCAGCAGGTGGCACTGTAATATTGGTGTGCCCCTTTGTAACTCTATTACAGGATGGGGAAAATTGGTCTTGGCGGAGGTTTGCACTCTCCGAGTGCTTCTAGTTTATTTCCTGTTCTTGCTTTTCTCAAAACCTTAAGGACAGAGTCTGCTAATTGGCCACTGGCTAAAAGTTCCTTTTTAGTTGTTATAGTTATAATTTTTTATTATACAACACTTAATAACATAATAACATATTACCTGTTTTCCCTCTCCTGCTCGTGCCACTGTCTCCTCTTCTTCAGCTCCTCTGTTCGTTTCTGCTGCCTTTCCAACAGCAGAGCTTTACGCTGCGCCATCTCTCCTTCACTGTGTCCTTCCTCCTGCAGACACAAACATATCGTCACTCATACAGCACATGATTCTCCTAAAGGGCATTTCATGATAAACGTCCTCCAACACTAACCTTAAAGAAGAATCCAACTCCTCCTCTCTTCTCCTCACTTGGCCCCTCTGTCTCCTCTGTCTCAGTGTGTGTTGTGTGTTCTGTTGGTTCAGTTGTTGGTTCTGGCTCATCGCTGGTTCCTGTAGCCAGGTTCAGTATTTGGATCGGATCCAGGCTCTCTGCAGCTCGTTTGACAGCCTCCGCCACAGATTCTGTGTGGTCGCTCATGGAGTCGGAGGAAAACTCCTGGCCCTCGTCGGTGGGTATGTCACTGCCCCCATCCACCCCTCCAGCAGAAGACAGGGACGCCTCAATCAGGCTGCAGGGCTTGCCTGCTCCCGCCTCTCCTTCCCCTCCTGCGCTGAACGCAGCGGACAGCGACAACGTGTCGCTCTCAAACGAGCACTCGGAGGGAGCCCCCGAGCTGCTGCCGACAGTGGTCCTCTGCCTGTCCTGCCTGGACGGTGGCAGGACTGGTAGTGCTCCCACGGGCTCAGCGTCCTCTTGCTCCAGCTCCAGGTTGAACTGGGTGGGTGTGTCACTCGAGCCCGTGTCCGAGGTGTTCTCCTCGGGCTGCGGCGGCGGCTGGGTGGGCTGTGGCGACTCCTGAGGGGTCCGAGGTCCACCAATGCGGAACGAGGAGGACGTCTGGACCTGACACTTGCTGGGGGACACTCGACGCAGGTGGGGGAGCGTGTCCACRTTCTGGGTGGGGGTCAGGACACGATTGAGCGTAGGGAATTTAAGTTCGGAGGGCCGTTGGTGGGGCTGGCGCTGGGGGCGGTGGTTGGTTTTGGGACTGCGAGGAGTGGAGGACGAGTGKATTTTGGTTCGGGGAGCAGGGCACGAGGAGGACGTGCTGGTTTTGGGGGAGCTGGATGAGGGGGGAATGTGAGCGCGTCGTGACGGGGAGGAGGCAGCGGGAGGACTGGGTCCAGCAGGGATCACCCAAGCTTTAGTGGTGCTCCTGGTGGGAGTCTTTGTCGGTGTTCTTGGTGGCGTCTTTGTCGGGGTGTGAGGAGGGGTTTTGGCTCTCAGTTCAGATTTCGGGGTGTTTCTCGGTGGGTTTCTGGGTCTTTGGTTGCTCAGGAGCTGCTGCTGCTGTTCTGTCAGTTTCTGCATGTCTCTCTGGAGGGACTGTAGAGCTTCACTCAGTTTCTGCACCACCTCGTTGTACTCCACTAYGACCGCCTCACCTCCTTTCTTGCTGTCGATGAAAAATGTGACCTGCTTTTCTAACCGAGGAGGGTCCGAAACAGATGGCTTCTCTTCCTCTTTCTCAGTTTCTGTTTCCTCTTTCTCCTCCTCCTGTTTCAGCTGCTCCTCCATGCGAGTGAGGCGCTCCTCCAGGGTCAGATTTTCTTCTGCTCCTTCCACTCCTCCCTCTCCTTGCTCTCGTTTTAGCTGGAGGAAGGCAGTTTTTCCGAGTCTCTGCCTGTGCTTCGCAAAGATAGCTTCAATGCGTCTTTTCTGAGCTTCAATGCTTTTGCGTTTCTCTTCGAGGCGAGCTCCCAGCTCCCAGGCCTCTGAGCTGGGCTCGGGGCCTCTGGGGCCCGGGCTGTTCTGGTGGTGACCCGATGCGGGTGTGGAGGGTGAGTGGGGAGTGCCTGGGGTCRTTGGGGTGGCGGCAGAAGTTGACTCCTCTCCGGCAGCGGCTGGTTGTCTCCGTCGGTTGTCTCGTCGCTCTGCGAAGCTCGTCATGCGAGGACTGCTGCCGCTGCTGGGGCTTCCCTGGCGGGTGTTACCGGGTCGAATATTGCCGGGGGTGTTTCTTGGCAAATCATCGGACGCTTCAGAYGAGTCAATGCTGCCATCTCGTAGAACCGAGTCGTCATCACGTGACATGTCGGACGTTGATCTGTCCCTCCTGCCTTGCCTATCAGAATCTCCAGCTCCGCCTCTCACCGGTCGATTGAGAAGTCCCGATCGACCGGGAGCCGAGCTGCTGAGCTGAGGTTTGTCTTCTTCAGGGGAGTGCAAGAAAAAACCTGCAGGCGCTCCCTCCGGACGCAATCTGGGCTCCGGCCTGACTCCTAACCCTCCTCTCCCACTTCTCTCGGCCGTCCTCCCTTTCTTCCGTTCTTTGCCGCCGGACAAATGAACCACCTGCCTCGCCTCCTCGATGGTCGGCAGCTCCCCCAGCGGAGTCGTCTGCGCGTAAGGGCCCCAGGACGAGCGGTGCGATGGGGCCGAGGCGCTGACCAGGTGGCTGAGGTCCTCCGGAGGGCTGTACGGGACGCGAGGCATCCCCACGGGCGCTGCCGGAGAGGTCAGAGCGGAGACGCCAGCAGTGAGGTTGTCGGTGCTGACGGAGCGAAAGACAGAATCTATTGGGTTTCCCATGACAATGTCAACATCACTGTCCAGGCCAAATGGGATGCTGAAAGTCACTGCTGACAGAGGACGACTGCAGGGGAGGTGGGTGACCACAACAAAGACGCACGGACGCATGATAACAAAGCAGAGACCACAGAAACCAAAATAAGAAGATCAACAAATTGAAACACAAACRCAACACAACATTCATGATCAAAAACACAAGCTCTGAAATGTACTCACCTGATTTGTTTCTTTGTCCAACTTTTGTTTTCTGGAGGGAAAAAACATGTTTCACAGTATAATGAACTTTTCTAATGACACTCAGATGAATTTTATGAACACATTCATCATACCTGGGGACGCCGGGGAGGAGATGGGCACAAAAGGTTGTTTGAAGATGAAAGAAGGAGAACCACTGAAAGAAGAATATGGTTATATATTGGTGTATTTGCAGTTAAGCTGGAAATATTTTTCACTTTTAGCTTTACTGGATCCCATTTAACTACTTGTCAAGTTTAAAAAGTTTTGTCAGGTTTTGTTTGTTTAACTCTTGAAGTATGTTTTAACCCATCGACGCCTATGAGGACAAACAGGAGGAGAAAAAAATTAAATTTTACCTTGTTATTTGAAATAATGCTGTTTTATACTGGACTTGTTTTTTCCCCCAATTGTCACAAACTAAATGTTTGTGCCAGAGAACGGGTTGGTGTTAATACCTGTTGCTGTTCCCACTGACGGGGCTTGTGCAGTCAGGTAATCCTGAGACATCTGAAAGACACAGAAAGACACACATCAGTGTCTGCGTTTGAGAAACAAGCTGCTATAAAAGAAGTCATTTGTGAGGCGACGTCACCAACCTGTGAGGTCAATAGGTTGTATGGGCTTGACGAAATCTGGCCTCTTCACCTCGAACCACTTCAGCAGCTCTGCTATGAAGCTCATTATATTCAGCTGAGGAGAGGAACATGTCACCATGGAAATCCAAAAGAAGAGGACAGAATATTTAACTTAACACCAAACTATTATGTGCTGCCATCTGGTGGTTGCTGACCACTAGAATGTTCATTTAAAAAAAACTATTTTTCTTCCTGATTAAGCTTTGAATGCATAAAAATACACTTTGCTCATTGGTGAATCTGAAATTAAGCATGATTGTTATAGTCTATAGATCTTGGTGCGTACATGCAGTGCTGGTGGAGCGTAGAGCAGGTCCTCCACAACGAGCGGGCAGCAGCTCTGTAAGTTGTTCTCACAAAACTCCTTGATCAACTGCAGGTTGTAGACGCTGTCTGCCACTGACATGGTGTCCTTCAGACACACGTCTGGAACCAGCACAGAAAGATGTGTTTATTAGAATGAGAACATGCAGAAGGTTTAGAGTCAACTCTAATTTGTTCTTCAATCCTTTTCCAGGACATTTTTATGTAATCTTTTAAAGACAAAAAAGAAAGAAAAAAATTATGTAGGTCTTCTGGACGGGTTCTTCTCTAATGAAACGTTTCGTCTCTTCTCCAAGAGACTTCTTCAGTCAGAGAGTTTCAGGCAAAATTCAGGCTTTTAAGCCCAGCCTCCATGTGACTGATACTCACATCACATGGCTATCGTTGACACCTAATTAACACTTATTGTTAACAGGGGGTGGAGTGATACTGGCAATGGCYGCGCTGTAGGAGGGGGACAACTGAAAACGGAGGCCTCCACCTCTGTTTAATGATGGACGGTCTTTCTTCACAAAAATGGCTTCTTTTACTCCTCTCTCAAACCAACGTTCCTCTCTATCAAGAAGTGAAAACTCTGCAGTTTTCACTCATTTACAGGCCAGCGGTCACTCTTTCAGAGATGAGGATGTTCTYAYTCTTGATAGAGAGGAACGTTGGTTTGAGAGAGGAGTAAAAGAAGCCATTTTTGTGAAGAAAGACCGTCCATCATTAAACAGAGGTGGAGGCCTCCGTTTTCAGTTGTCCCCCTCCTACAGCGCGGCCATTGCCAGTATCACTCCACCCCCTGTTAACAATAAGTGTTAATTAGGTGTCAACGATAGCCATGTGATGTGAGTATCAGTCACATGGAGGCGGGACTTAAAAGCCTGAATTTTGCCTGAAACTCTCAGACTGAAGAAGTCTCTTGGAGGAGAGACGAAACGTTTCATTAGAGAAGAACCCGTCCAGAGGACTTATACAATTTTTTTCTTTTTGATTTTTTACCTGGATTACTGAGATGCATCAGGAAATCTTTTAAAGAAGTCTTAAACAACGTATTAAACTAATTTCTCATCTTTTAATTGAAAATTTTCAATCAACCATCTATTGTTAGAAGCACATTTTTGACGTTTGTTCAGCCAAACAACTCAAACTTATGAAATATTTATGAATTAAAAGGTTCAAACTCACTTGTGTTCACAGAATTTGGCAAAAAGCTACTTTAAATAGAATCTTTATGAACTTTGAAGGTCTTTCACAATTTGTTCTATTCTCTTTAGTTAAAACTACTTGCATGAAAAACACTAAGGACAGCATAGCCAACAGGCACACAAGAATATTTTAGCACAAACAAGATGAGTCCTGTAGGATGATACATCTTTCAGATATGTATGGTTTTATTGACGTCTTTCAAATACTTCAAAACTTTTAGTGGGCCCTACATGGCCACCAGTATTTCTGGAAGCCCCACTGAACAAATTGATATGTCCATGTTTGCGTGTCACATTTGTCAAACTAAAGGCCTGCGGGCCACATGTGGCAYATYGTGACATTTTATGTAGCCCAYGAGAATGTTAGTCYRCACTGACCATACACTACATCTTCCATAATGYATGTTGATTATTTTATTTGCAAAATGGCAGCCTCCCACCAATAGGTGGAGGTGTAACTTTTACTGTTAATTAACGTTCTTCAAGTTTTAGTGCATGTTTAATCACACGCACAAGTAGTGTCTTTTCTGTGCACATGTACACATTAAAATCTATTTTTATTTGCATGACGTACATTGCAGAGCTCTCTTTTTGTCATTGTTTATGTTGTAGCAGTGTTGTAGCTAGGTTAGCAGAATCAATATAATCGCCTGTCTGCTAACTGGTACGCCTCTGTCTCTGGAACACAGTTTCTACGACTGAGTATTAGGGCCACACAACGAGATTTTTTTTAATTACGAGAAGAAAGTCATAATATTATGACATTAAAGTCATATAAAAATAACGACATAATATTATGAGTATAAAGTCGTAATATTGTAGCCTTTACACGAAAAAGCATGCAGTTATCACTGCACTAAAATGAGGAATGTTGAGCATCTTGTCAAGTTGTTCTTTAGTGTTGCTATACATAAATAATTAATCTTTTAGTACATTAGCATCAAATTATCAGTAGCAGGACTTGGAAATTGTGCAAACAACTGAAGCTGTATTGTAAATAATGGATGCATTGACAGATTTAGTCATCACATAGCTAATTTGGATGAAAGCATATTAATCTAACAGTGACGAGTCATCATGGACTACTTTATAAACACAGACACATGGCTGTACAGAGCAGGTGTGGGGAAAATAAGGAGGAAATGAGGAACGGGAAGTAGACACGTCATGGTTATGACTTTTTTTCCTCATAATATTACGACTTTAATCTCGTAATAATATTTTAAAAAATCTTGTTGTGTGGCCCTAATACTCCGTCGTACAGTTTCATATGGTTTGTTGGGAAATTACATCACTACCACTTCCCAGTTCTGTAATACAATGTAAATGGAACGCAGCATTAAACTGGAATGACCCTCCAGTGGGAATTCCTTGTTGTAAGGTTGGGCAGTTCAAAATACAAGAKGACAGCTACTGCAACTAGTGTGTTAAACTCTCTTACTTAAAAAATAGTATTTCTGTATTATTTATTTCACATTTAGTCAGT